ACCCATGTAATATCCACTTGGCGGGCAATATACCATGTAATATCCATTTTTATTCCATGTCATGTGACCGAGTCTCAACCAATCACAGCATGCGTAACAGCAGTGAGATGTGATAAATGCCTTTATTTGGCATAATGACTTGTTAGACCATGATGTTCGAAAAAATCAACTAACCACATCCCATCCCACCCATGCAACATTGGATTCGTTCTTATTATCTTATAATGCAGATTCCCGAAAAAAAACGTTGAACCCAAGAAACGTGGATAGATAAGTCGTGTTTTTGCAATATACAATGACCAAAATACATTATACGAGTCGGGAATAGTCAAAATTACTAGGCAAAAGGTTACAGGTTAAAAGGTTGCAAAAGGTCATACGCCGAGTGACGTACTCTCACCCCTGAAAACCATTGGTAATTGGTAAATGACGATAACACTGTGAAGTGGAACGCCACCCAAATCACCACTGTCGGTCGGTGAAGACTTCCTAAGAAGTTTGAGTTGAATCCGCTTTTCGAAAAAAAACTAAGATTAAAAACTAAAAAACAACGCCCTCAAGATTTGTCGTTTCAGCGATAATCAGTGGCGGCGGCACGGGGGGGGGGGGGGGCAGAGGGGGCAGTCACCACTCGAAACAAATGCCCCTCCAAAATCAAGCTGAAACCCTTTGTGTCAGCAAAATTTGCCCCTCAAAATGGAGAAAATAGCGTTTCAGAGGGTCTAGATTTCATTTTTTAAGAGGGCATATATAATATGAAAGACAAAAAAGGGGGAGCATGCCCTGGACCCTCTAGTAAGGTCGCGTCTTCGGAGCAAGGTTGGTGAGCAGATCTCGCCCCGTCATGCAAAATTTTGTGCCGCCGCCTCTGATAATTATTGGCCAGAAGGAATTAGAGTCGTTGATTAATTTAATTTTGTTTATCACTTGTGCAAGCTTCACAGTTGAATCATAGGTTAAATAACAAAGTACCAGAATTACCGAAATAATCTGAAATGTTGGTATCCGTGTTCGTGATAGTGCAAGGACAACCCCTTACTGCATGAATGTGAACAATCTTTAACGGTGTCGATAAATGACAACCAGCTAAAACGAGTTTTCTTAACGTGCACGCAAAATATCGATACCGAATATACCATTATCACGTGACCAGCAGTGCCTGATCATGATGTGGTTAGATTTTGATTGCCATTGTATAATTTGGTTATTTTCTTCGCAGTTAAACGCTTCATCGCCGTTCCATCGACATGTGTTCTTATATACGTCTTAGGAATCGGGTCTGCTGTGAATATTAACTATCTTGTGAACCAGGTAATTAAGCGTCATACTTGACCCCTACAGGTCACACAAGCTGGAACTTTCTGGAAGAGGTGTTGGCCCATAACAGCGATATAGTAGTCAAACATTATTTGTATTATATATGTTGACGATTGTTTGAATTTTTGGAAACTGATTGAACATTTACCGTTAATAAAGAATTTGACCCCCCCCCCACCTAAATACCACCATCAATCTCCGGCCATAAAATCAATATACAGGTTTTTGCCATTAACCCTTTGACACAAAACCAGCCACAAAATAAAGCTGGATATTTTTCCAATATCTGACCAATACCTCTGAAATTATAGAAAATATGGAATGTTGCTGTAAATTGTTAGCATTTAATATTTATGCGAAAACTAACGAGTGATTATTAGTGTCAATATAGTTTATTTCGTGTTGCAGCGGCAATGTTGTCCATTTCATGTTACCATGTCAATGTGCTTTATTTCGTGTTGCCATGTCAATGTGGTTCATTTCGTGTTGCCATGTCAACGTGGTTCATTTCATGTTGCCATGTCAATGTGGTTTATTTCATGTTGTCATGTCAATGTGGTTCATTTTATGTAGCAGTGTCAATGTGGTTCATTTCATGTTGTAGTGTCAATATATTTTATTTCATGTTGCCGTGTCAATGTGATTCATTTAATGTTGTAGTTTCAATATATTTTAATGCATGTTACTATGTCAATGTGGTTCATTTCATGTTGTAGTGTCAATATCTTGTATTTCATGTTACTATGTCAATGTGATGCATTTCATGTTGTAGTGTCAATATCTGTATTTCATGTTACTATGTCAATGTGATTCATTTAATGTTGTAGTGTCAATATATTTTATTTCATGTTGCCATGTCAATGTGATTCATTTAATGTTGTAGTGTCAATATCTTGTATTTCATGTTACTAAGTCAATGTGATGCATTTCATGTTGTCGTGTCAATATCTTTATTTCATGTTACTATGTCAATGTGATTCATTTAATGTTGTAGTGTCAATATATTTTAATGCATGTTACTATGTCAATGTGGTGCATTTCATGTTGTAGTGTCAGAATCTTTATTTCATGTTACAATGTCAATGTGATGCATTTAATGTTGTAGTGTCAATATATTTTAATGCATGTTACTATGTCAATGTGGTGCATTTCATGTTGTAGTGTCAATATCTTTATTTCGTGTTACTATGTCAATGTGATTCATTTAATGTTGTAGTGTCAATATATTTTATTTCATGTTGCCATGTCAATGTGATTCATTTAATGTTGTAGTGTCAATATATTTTAATGCATGTTACTATGTCAATGTGATTCATTTCATGTTGTAGTGTCAATATCTTTATTTCATGTTACTATGTCAATGTGATGCATTTCATGTTGTAGTGTCAATATCTTTAAATGCATGTTACTATGTCAATGTGATTCATTTCATGTTTTAGTGTCAATATCTTTATTTCATGTTACTATGTCAATGTGATGCATTTCATGTTTTAGTGCCAATATCTTTATTTCATGTTGCCATGTCAATGTGATTCATTTAATGTTGTAGTGTCAATATATTTTAATGCATGTTACTATGTCAATGTGATTCATTTCATGTTGTAGTGTCAATATCTTTATTTCATGTTACTATGTCAATGTGATGCATTTCATGTTGTAGTGTCAATATCTTTATTTCATGTTACTATGTCAATGTGATTCATTTAATGCTGTAGTATCAATATATTTTAATGCATGTTACTATGTCAATGTGGTGCATTTCATGTTGTAGTGTCAATATCTTGTATTTCATGTTACTATGTCAATGTGGTGCATTTCATGTTGTAGTGTCAATATCTTGTATTTCATGTTGCCATGTCAATGTGATTCATTTAATGCTGTAGTGTCAATATCTTGT